GAACTGGTGGGTTCAACGAGTCACAGACTTGAACTCGACAAGCTTGGAAATGAGCGTGGGTTGGCGACGTTGACAGTTGCTGCCATGCCACAGTGGGCTTTGTGCAACGAGAATCGCGGCTCACGATGACACTCTGACTTGACGGTAAACACAGCTTGACGAGTGCTGGAATGACAGAGACGGAACGATGCCCATACATTTATGCTCGCATCCTCACGATCAAAAGTGCTACTTGGTGACAACGGGCGGCGCAATGTACGCTTCGTGCATACGCTCGGCGACATGCATCATCGCCTCTGCAGCCTTGGCGACGCGATGGTCGTCCGGGTCGCGGGCACAGAGTATGAGGAGCAACTTGAAAAAAAGGTTTACGTTGGGGAGGCGAACGTTGGCGTCCGTCTCGCGCCGCGGACCGTCGACAACCCCCTGCGCCGGCACAAGCGGCACAAGCAGCAGGTCGCTGACGCTGAACGCCGTCACCATCTCCTTCCACGCCCCGCGGAAGAGTTGCCCGACCATGCAAAGGTTGAGGTACTGAAAGCAGTCATGGTCCCTGTCGATGACGCCCTTGATATGGAGAGCCCGAGGAAGCTTTGTTAGCGGACCGTCGTCAGACGTCGTTGTGCGGGTGACGTAACGGTACGCCTTGCTCACGTGCGCAGGCTCAATGGGCAAGCGTCGCTGGCTCAACGCATCACACCGCGATTGCATCTTCTTCTGCGCCGCGCTGCGGTGGTCCAGCCGATCGCGGGACGTGAGTTTGACAGCGTTGTAGCTCCTCGCCAGCAAACGTCCGCATCCAATGTCACCGCGAGAGGTTGGACGACCGCTCAACCACAAGGACTTGCCACGCTCAAACATTGCCACCAACGTGTCGAGGTCCTTGTTTGCTGGGATTTTGTCGAGGACACGGAGCGCGTTGTAGAGGTGGATCATCGCGCGCGCTTGGCCAATGTCATCGATCGTCGTCAAGCCTAAGGTAAACGTGATATCGGTCGTGATCGTGAGAAGAAGCTGGCCGGCCATGTACGGGTTGAACCACGCACGGTCGACCTCCATTTGGCCAAACGGTTTGCTCGGCGACGTAGTGACACGGAGGTTGACAAGCCAGCGCAAGGCCATGGCCATATTGGATGCGGTGGCCGCTGGCACGAAGCGACCGTCGGCGAACTCACAACACGTCGTCAATTGGCTCGTCACACGGGCGATCGTGACGCGCGTATCGTCAACGATGTTGGCGTAGTGGGCGTCTGACGTTCCTTGAGTGTAGACGAGACTCCACAAGAGAGATTGGCACGCAAAGACGAGCGCGACGGGCACTCGCTTCGTCTTGACGTACGTCCGAAGAAGCGTAAACAGCGGATTGGTCGTCGGTTCGCGTGGAAGCATGACGTCGCCCGCGTCATGCAGCAAAAATACGGGCAAAATGTGGGCGAGGAACGTCTTGAGCAAGTCGCTAGGTGACGATGCAAGTCCGTGGCGCTCGGGCCAGTGACGGTTGAAGAAGCCATCCGGCACGGCCGAGCGAGTGCCGGGCGGAAGGACCTTGATCATGGTGTGGAGGCCCTGCTGGAGGTTGACCAAGCTTGTGTCCAATGTCGCCGTCCATTCCAGGTCGCCAAAGCGCGAGGGCGTTTCGTATTGGTTGAGGACGCGGTCGATGAGGCACGCCGCCGCCGTTATTGTCGTCTGAAGCGCCTTGGCGATTGTGTGCTCAGCCGCGGGACGGAACTCGTCGATCATCGCTCGTTTGGCCAGGACCACCACTTCGACCGCGGTGCTGAGGGTTAGGTCAGCGTTGCCGACGACGAGATCGATGAGAAGCTCCTCACAGACCAGAAATGCCATGATGTGGTCAAGGTCCTCGAAGTGCGGGTGCGCAATGCGCAAGGTCTTGCTCAGCTCGTCGACGGTGTGGACGCAGGCGTTGGTGACGGCTGTCGCAGCGATCAAGCTCATTTCGCCGCGCTGGAACATTTCCCAGGCGAGCTTGACCTCGCGGTTCATGTCGTCGAGGTCGAGCAAAAAGAACACACATTGAAACTGCGCGCCTTCCAAGCGAGCCACCAGACGCGTGTGCGCTGCGTCGGTCGCGTCTGTAGGTGGCGAGAACGTCGTCAAGTCGAACGGCGTCGTGGACGTTGGCGTCTTGGCGGACACCAGCGGCGTCCACCGCGCCTCGATCGCGCGGAAAGTGTTGAGGACATGCATATGGCCGTCGTCAGGGGGCATCTTGAGAGAGTACTCGTGGCGCAGGCGGACGGCCGTCCCGAGCTCGCGCAGGATACGGCATGGTACCGGTGTTGCGGCTTCAACGACCTCAAGCGCTGCAGTCCAGATCTGCGAGACAGACCACTCGGCGACGTTAGCGGAGCGTGCGCGCACCGTTATATTGGTGTTCTTGGGTTGGGTGGCTTCTTGAAGCCACGTGAGAACAACGTTGGTCGCCGCCTTGTAGCGGTGGTAGCGTCCACGCTCGCTGCCATCGGTCGCCATGGCACTTGCCGTTTGCCTTGCCAGTTGAAATCTGACACAGATCAAAGGATTAAGTGTTTGTCCCTTACACAGCTGCATGAGTGCGAGGCCGGGTTTACAATACACACGGCTCCGACTCAACGCATCATCGTACCAAGGGCAATAATCAGATTATTGACGCTTGACTGTACTACGAGTCTCGAATGCTCCGAGGTCCGTATGTTGTCAGTGTGCCACGCGCACTACACTTGATGAGGATACATGACTCCGGGAGCTCGATGTGGACAACGATTAGGGTTAATCGAGTCATTGTTCAATTATCTCTTCTTCTAGCAAGTCTTCCAGCGACAGCGGACGTGCCGTCACATCGGCAGCCGCACCTTTCTCCATTGGTCCCACACTCTCTGAGGACTCGTTGCAGGGTACTACTGTCGAGGTCCGCAAATTAAACGGTGTGGCGAATCTCGAGATTCAGAGGTCCGTCTCTGGTCTGCGTGTCGATGTGTACGCGTGGGTCTACTCCGTAGCGACCGGACAAAGATTGTGACAGCGTGTCCGCTGTCGCTAGAAGGCTTGAGAGAAGAAGAGGTGATTGAACAATGGCTTGATTAGCTTGAGCTTAGACTCGTTGCTGGACACGCACACCAGCTACTATAGCAGACCCAAACCTAACCCTAATCTTTGTCCGATCCCCAGAGCACGGCTCACTCAGACCACGGAGCACGGCTTACACAGATAAGAGGAGAACCTCTGAATGTCGAGATTCGCCACACAGATTAGGGCTAGATCTGTGTCCGAGTTTGTAGCTAGTGCGCGTATCTAGCAATGAATCTAAGCTCAAGCTAATCAAGCCATTGTTCAATCACCTCTTCTTCTCTCAAGCCTTCTAGCGACAGTGGACGCGCTGTCACAAAAGGAAACGGTATTTTGGGGTATCTGAGTCTGAGTTTGAGGATCGGCACCTTCAAGTACACGCGGCTCAATCACGTTATTGTCCAATGTGCACTTCTTTCCGCCCGTCTGTACGTTGGAGTCCCACCCTCGCTAGCGAAACGATTCGTCGTCACGTATAGTTACGCCCAAATGCCGTCACTGCAATGGAGCACGTTCGGTCGACGGCGGGACGCGATATGATCGCCATCTTGTCGACTGGACTCTTGTAGGGGACGCACACGATCAGCTTGCCAAGAACAAGAGGTTAAAGTAGTTTCGATGTCGGCGTCTGCCTCCAAGCCTCGACTCGTCTCGCCATTTCCCACGGCAGACGAGATAATCGACCCTTTGTGACAAAACGCAACATTGAGCGCCAAATGACCTTTCCCCGCTCCGCCCACCCGCAAGACGGTTTGATACCACAAACCGCTGTCCTGCGCGAGTATCGGACTCCCGGTATTGGAGGGTTTATAGATTTATGAACGATGGGTAGTGGGAACCGCGACTGTCTCTCGGCCTCATCCGTCGCATTAGAATTGTAGGTTTGTCAGCTCCGTGTACATCGCGTCAGTGTTCAACTAGTGCATCCGCACGTCTTACCGCGGTCACAAGGACGGTAGCAAGTCGGGAGTTTTCACTTGTTCAATAAGACAATACGGTCTACTCAAGCATCGCGTCGTGTCGACGCGAGAAATTTCCGAAGCAATTTCGAGATGCTCTCGATGCAACGTTGCTGTTTTGGGTGCGTCGTAGTTGCTGGACGCGCGCACTGGCTACCAACTCAGATCAGACCCTCGCCTTTGTCCAAGGTCCCACAAAGTATGCAAAGCACACTCCGACAAGGACCCCTGAATCTTGCGATTCTCTAAGTTACATTCGAGTCTTGCGCATTCAAGACCTTATTAAGCTTTGCCACGCAACATTACCGAGATTCATCTGTTGAACCAACCCACCAGGAGCATTGTTCATGTTGCTCAGCGGGGGTTGTAGTCTGGACTCGTCCAAGGACCGGTGGCGGTGCACGCAGCACAGATTTGCGTTGCGAATGCGTGTTTGCCTTTGGGCAGGATCAGCGGATCGTACATTGTTCACGAATCCAAGTACACAGTTCGTACTACCACATAGACGAACCGCTAGATGGCACGCTACCCCGAAGACGACTAAAAAGATCGACAGTTAGCCCATCAACCAGTACTTCGCACTTTCTGACGTTTGATGGGACTTGCGATGATCAGCACCTACGACTCCTTGGTACGCTCCGTGTCCACCGAGGGTTAGTGTTCAACCAGCGCTTCCTCTTCTTGGCTCGATGGTGGCGCCATCGCATTCAACTTGGACAGTCAGGCACTGCAACACGTTAGGACACGTTATATACATGCCTAGGATTCCTCATAGTCTAGTCGGTTAGGGTATATGGCTTTCACATTAAATACATGCCTACATACTGTGCTTGGACGACGTGGCAGTTCCAACAAGCCTACGGTGTGACGACCGGCGCCTCGAGGTAGGCTTCCGGCATGCGGTCGGCCGCGTGCATCACGACGACAGCGGCCATCAAGAGACGTTCATTGTCCGGGTCGCGGTCGCAGAGCCCGAGAAGCGTCTCAAAGTAGAGGTTTTCGTTGTGGAGGCGAATGTTGGCGTCCGTCTCACGCCACGGGCCGTCCGTGATTCCGCGTTCGGGCACGAGCTTGTTGCCCTTGAAGCCCCCGAGCGTCACCATCTCCTTCCACGCGTCTCGAAAGAGCTGGCCGACCGTGTTGAGGTTGAAGTACAAAAACGTATTGACGTCGCTGTGGATCACGTCCAGAATGTCCATGAGCCGTGGCAGGTGGGTCCAATCGCGCTTCTCGTCCGCCACGGGCGCTGTCAGGTGCGCCACGTACCGGTACGCCTTGCTCACGGGCGCCGGCTCGGTCGCTTGGAGCTTCCGCGCGTGGTCGCCGCGCTTGATTTTCTTCTTTTGCGCTTCGCTGCGGTGGTCGAGCTTGTCGCGCAGCATGGCTTTGGCGACAAAGTCGTCGGCGTCGTGGCGAAGGTTGGCGGCCAACGCCGCTGCTGTCGTGGCGTCATACCCCCACGCCAGCAAATGGGCTTTTGCAAAGTCACCACGGGCCGTCGGACGACCACCAACCCAGATCGACTTGCCGCGCTCAAACATGGTCGCCAAGTTGTCAAGGTCCTCGTTCGGCGGGACCTTGTCGAGGACGCGGAGCGCGTTGTAGAGGTGGAGGACCATGCGCGTCTGGCCAATGTCATCCATCGTCGCGAGGCCCATGGAGAAGCCGATCTCCATTGTGAGCGTGAGGAAAATCTGGCCGGCCATGTACGGGTTGAACCACGCACGGTCGACTTCCATTTGGGTAAAGTACTTGTCGGCCGAAGTCGCGATGCGGAGGTTTGTGAGCCAGCCGAGCGCGGCCTCGACGTTCTTCTTGGTCGGCGGCGGCACGAGGATGCCGTCTTTGTTGTCTCGAAGCGCCTGCATTTGGCGCGTGACACGAGCGAGCGTGCTGCGCGTGTCGTCGACGACCTTGGCACAGGACATGCCATCCTGCGCGCTGCTTTGGGTGAAGAAGAGACTCCAGAGCACCGACTGGCACGCAAAGACGAGCGCGACAGGCACTTCCTTGGACTTGACGTACGCCTTGATGAGCACGAGCAGCGGCTTCATCGTGGCTTCGTACTCGAGCTTGAAAAGGCTCGTGTCCCGCACATGAAGGACAAGCGCCGGCAATATGTTGGCAAAAAACGTCTGGTACAGGTCCATGGGCGACGCGGCAGGTTGGCGACGCTCGTCCCAGTCCGGGCCAAAGGTCCCGGGGCGGCACATCATGCGGTGGCCGGGCGTAATGACCTCGAGAAAGCTAAAGAGCGCGTGCTGGAGGCTGATGAACCCGTTTTTGTTCCCGAGCGACGACGTCCAGTCAAGACTCCACGCATCCGACTGGGCAAAGTGCAGGTGCACGATATCGATCACTCGGGACGCAACGACCGTCGGCACCTTGAGGCGCTGGGCGATCGTGCGCTCGGCCGCCGGCCGGAGCCGCTGCACCATGGCCCTTTTGGCGACAACGACCAGCTCGACGGCTGTCTTCAACGACACGCCATTCTTCGCGTCGGCGACGAGGTCCACGAGCACTTGGTCGCAGACGAGAAGCGCCATCATGTGGTCAAGGTCCTTGAGGTGCGGATGCGCGAAGATCATGTCGTTCCCGAGGACTTGGACAGCGTGCACGCAGGCGTTCGTGACCGCCGTCGCCGCCATCAAGCTCATGTGCCCGCCCTTGAACATACCCCACGCCAGCATGACCTCGCGGTTCATGTCGTCGACGTCGAGGAGGAAGCAGAGGATTTGAAACTTCTCGTCCTCGAGGCGGGCTTCCAGTGCGGCGCGCTCCGCGTCCATAGCGTCGACCGGCGCGACGAACGCCGCCATATCGAACGGCGGCAGCGGCGTGTTCGTCGCGTTCAATCTCGCCCACATATCTGCATCGTCGTCATCGTCGTTGTCGTCGGTGGCGAGCGCTTCGAAGGCGTTGACAATGTCGACGTCGCCGCTCATCGTGTCGGACGCTGGTGGCTTCGATGCGCCGGTCGGCGCGACCACGAGTGGCGTCCATTGAAGCTCAATGGCCCGCAGAATGTCGAGCATGTGCTTGTGGCCCTGGTCGGGCGGCAACTTGCAAATGGCTTGGTACCGAAGTCGAATACTGTTTGCAAGCTGGCGCATGATGGCAGCGGGCACGGGCAAGGCGGCCTCGACAACCTCGAGCGCGGCCGCATAGATCTGCGAGACCGACCACTCGGTGACGTCGGCCGACCGACCGCCGTGCTTCTTGGCCTTCTTCTTGGCGTTCTTAGTCTTGGGCTTGGTCGCGCGACGCGCCCATTCGAGGACGGCGTTGGTCGCCGCCTTGTAGCGGTGGTAGCGCCCGCACTCGCCGTGACTGCTCATCCTACAAAGGCCAACTGACGCACGCCGGAGCACATGTGGGACAAAGAGTGTTTGTCCCACGCACTGTCCTTTCTGACACTCGCGCCATGGTGCCCGTTTCTAGTTTTTATTACCCGGTGGGACAAACATGGTTTGTCCCAGTTTGCTATTTGCGCTATTGAGGCAGCATGCCAAGCTCACCGAAGCTTGCTCTCGCCGACGACGGGTACGTCTTGCGGTGTGTGCCCACGCTCGTACCAGGCCACGGCACGGACCTCCTGGTCGGCTTTGTGTCGCCCATCCCGCTTCAAGGCCAAGTCTTTGCAAACGAGGTCCATATAGTGCTGCTCGAGCCGACTCTCGACGGTGACGCCGGCCGCTACCGCCGGCGCGACGCACCACATGTCGTGCACATCTACACGTACGACGCCGAGCTCGACGACGACGATCGCGCGGGCAGTCGGCTCGAGATGGCCTTCTTGCCGACGGACCCGACAGCATTGATTGCTTGGACATGGGATGCGCCGACGCTGTACAAGCTGCGCGTCGACGCTCGCCGCGGCGTGTTCATCGAATCCCGCCGCGACCTCGGGTTCCGGCCTGTCCGAAAGGCCAACTTTGGGCTCGGCATGTACTTCACGCGCGATGGTCGCTTTGTGCACCTCGTGTCGACGTGTCCGTGGGACGACTACCAGTTTGATGCGCACTCGCTGCAGCTGCTGCAGCGCACCCGGTCATGTCCGTGGCCGTACGCGTCGATCTCGTACGTCGGCTACTCGAACCAAGTGCTCGTCGCAGGCGACGCGATCGGCGCGCTCGTGGCTCTCGAGCTCAACAGCCGGTCGTTCCTTGGACTGCAGCTCCCGAGCGGCGACCACTTGCACATTTCACTCGGGGCGACGCAGCTCAGTCTCGTGCCATACTATAACAATGGACGCTTTGCACTGAGTGCGACCGCGCTCCACGAGAAGCGTCGCTACCACGGCGTCTTCCGGGACATTTGGCACCTTCTCGAGATCTCGCCGTTGCAGCTGCAGCCGTGGGTGCACCCGGCCGTGCAGTGGCCAACCACCGCCGACGGTGATTTCAACAACGACGACGACGACGCGGCACTGGCACCGGTGGAGGCCACGCCGACAATCACGTATGCTCTAGCGGTCGATCTCCCGGACGCGCCGTGGGTCGAGGTGACCGCGTCGAGTCCCAGCACGCATTATCTGCGCTGCAGCCCGCTGTGCATCGACGGCGACATGTACCAGCTGGACATTGTCCGTCCGCACACGGCCTTGATTCGTCACCCGCTCTCCAACGCGTGCGTGCATGTGCTCCAGTACAACGAGTACGACGACATTGAGATCCTCCATGTGCTCAGCCGCGGCAGAGTCCTGTCGTGGACCAGTCGCTTTCTGCTAGCAAGCGCGCCACTGCAACTCGCGACGCCCATGGTCTATAAACCCATTGGTAATGGCATCCTTCCGACCGACGATGCCGTGTTCCAAGCCGCAGCTTTCCACTATGCCGACGACCGCCTCATGCACTCGGCATTCGGCGTGCTCGGGTCGCATACACTCGGTATGGTGCTCTCGGCCGGGTACCTTTGCCTCGCTGATTTGCTGGTGCTGCTGCGCGAGCTGCCGAGCGTGCGCCGGGAGTGCTTTCGACACGCCGAGATGCGTCGGCGCATGCTGCGCACGCATTATTTAGACTACGTCGAGTCGACGTTTTTATGGCCTGACGACGCCGCGCACTTCGAGGCCAAGGCGGCGTCGCTGCTCCTCTTCTTGACGACGATTGACGACGAAGAAGCGTACGAGCTCCTCGCGGCATCGGCCTATTTCAAGCTCCGCGGCGAGCGGCGCGACCGGACCCTCGCGCAAGACTACCTCGAGATGCTACCCCCCAAGACGCGCACGCTGCATGGCAAGAACGGCGACGTGGTCGTTCTAGATGCGTCAACCTAGTTGCTGTCGATACCAGGACACTTGAATGTACACAGTGTAAAAACAATAAAGACTACCGAGCGACGAGCTCATTTTCGTCTCGTAACTAAAGCCAAAATCGATGCCGATGTCGGCGCGAATAGCTAGTACATACTCTATTATAGATTGATTGTTGAAAGGAGTTAGGTCTGCAACTGTGCGAGATACCACGCCCGCGCCGCCGTCGCAATCGCCTTCTTGACAATTGGACGACAAAGCGTCGACGCATTCGCTTCGAGCGTGTCGGCTTCTTCGGTTTCGATATCGTGTGTGACCCACTGCACAAAGGCGCCGGTTTGCTTGATGGTAACCTCGAGACCGCGCTCGGCCAAGACATTGACCCCCTGGCGCAGGCGATTGTCCGAGACGTAGTCCCGCACAAACGCCTCGACACTGGCAACGACGTCCGGTGCAAGCGACGTCGCTGGCGTCCGCTGGCGACCTCCGCTCGACGACGACGTGAGCGCGTGCTTGTCGCCCTTTGTCTTGAACCAAAACCGAGAGTTGAGCGCGTAGCCGGGCGACGTGCACGCCCACACGATGCCTTCGCCTGTGCCCGAGACGCCAAGGGCCTTGGCCGCGGGGCACTCGGCTTCGACGTCGGCGGTCCATGCCTCCAGCTGTGCCTGCGCCGCATCTGGCGCGTCAAGCGGAATCTCGATCGAGTAGGTGCCAAAGCGCATGATGTGATAGATTCGAGCGTCGGGGTAGTCGACATCATGGAGCAAGTGCATGTCCAGCCAGCGCCCGTCGACGTTGATAGCAAAGTAGACAAACATCTTTGGGAGTTGCGCGAGAGCGACGCCGCCCTGGATGCTGCCGCCGCACCACTCGCCATAGATCGCAATTGAGGCATCGCACGCACAGTTGGTGACGCGGCAAATGGCGGCGTGGAGTTGACGCAGCTCGGTGGCGTGCGACGTCATGGCCGCTGCAAAGCCCGCGTAGTCTGACGTGACCGAGAGGTCCCGGGACCGCGACTGAAACTGCATCGGGCGATCGCCTTGAAAGACGACAGCAGTGTTCGAGCCATGCAGCTTGATCGTGCCGGTAAACGTCAGCGTCGGCAGCGGTCGCGTCGTGTCAAAGATCGCGCGGTCGGCTCCAGGATCGCGGCCGACATACTGGATGCGCTCAGTGACCGCGGCGACAAGGTGTCGGAACTGCGAAATCGAAGGAAACGGAATCATGGGTCGTTGCGTCTTTGAGGTTGACGTTGAGATTGAGAAATTGGGTGCTTCGTCAATGTTGTCGAGAGATCAAAACGACCATCATTGGCCGAAATGCCGTTCAGGATATGGTGAGTGATGGTTAGAAAGGACGCGCTGTTGCCACACGGACATTCTTGTGGACAAGCATTGGCAGGCTGCGAAATACCACAAGAAAGGTCATCTCGACTTTGATGCGTGCGGTGGTCCAAGTCTTGGTTGGACGAAGGTGCGCTTGCCCGACCACGCGACGACGAGCGCTCACCAGTTGTGTTGCCAGTGGCGCTAACCAGTTGTGTTGCCAGTGGCGCTAACCAGTTGTGTTGCCAGTGGCGCTGACCAGTTGTGTTACTAGTCGGCACAAATCTCATTATGATAGTAGAGCACAAGACTTTATCACACATGTACTAAACTCATCTAGGCGTCTACATCCCTCTGCGACTCCACCAAAATCCACTGTAGACTCGAACATTGCGGCGCGATTCCAGTTGCATCAGTAGTCGCACAACCATCTACTAAAAGTGAAAGTATGCCAGACTTGGTTGCAAAATCGTAGACTTGTGGATCTAGAGCCGTGGTGGACCGTCGTTCATCGGAGGGTACTTGGCGTCCGACGACCCGCTGCCTCCGTGCCGTTGCTCGTACTACGACGATGAAGTCGATCCACCAAGTCCTTTCTAAGCACGGAGCTACCATGACTTTGCGAATCGCGCCTTGCGTCACAGGATCGTAGTCGCTAATGTGCATGGTTGAGTCGACTTTGGTCGTGTCGATCTCGGCGTCGCCCTAAGCAATTACCCGACGCCATTCGAAATTCAATTCGGCCGACAAGAGATGCGCCAACCTCGAGTACGGACTTCCACCACGTCTTGGGCGTTGCTTTCTCGAGCGACAAGACAACGGCTTCGCTCGAGTCAAGCGACCACAGCGACTCTTCGACTTTGATTTTGCCCGGAAACGTGCCGTGGACCAGCGGCGCCTAACCCTCGACACGTTATGCTTCCCACTGGACAATAGGTTGGCTACGTACACTGTGACCTTTGATGGCGACGTGTACCGACGCACTCGTCATGCGCACGTCGAGGTCTCTCGACTTGGTGCCTGCGGGTACTGGGATCGTCACCTACAGGAAGGTCATCCCACAAACCGCACACCCGCTTCTCTCGACGTACCGTGAGTTCTTGCAGCGACTGTGTCCACGAGTACTTGTCCGTTCGCCCACCATTGCCTTCCGGTACTAGAGACCAAGGATGCCATGGTGCCATTGCGCAAGAGGGCGGTATGTACCTTGCTTGCCGTCGTCGGTCAGCGCTATCGGGCGGGTGTCGGGCTGCTGTGTCGGCGGTGGCTGCACCGTCGCGGCCGGCGGCGCACGCACCGGTACAGCATCAAGCGGCTTCATTGGAAAGCGCTGAAACGACTGGAGCACCTAGGCGTGCGGCTGAGCTACGCAGCGGCGCGGTCGATCGTCGCTACCAGGTTCTGGGCGACGCCGGGTGCAAAGCCCATTTGACGCTGCGGGTTGTCCGAGACGACGTAGAAGTCGGTGTTGCGGTGCAGGAAGTCGAAGAAGACATGCAGAAGGCCATGGATGCTGCCTTCCTTCTGCACGATGCCCATCAATGCGTCGTCGTACCGCGCCTGCATGCTGTCAAGATTTTTCGAAAGTGGCACGTCAACCGGATGCTTACGGATACACACGATATCCGTACAACGGGCGCCAGGAACCGGATGCGTGTTGCGATCTTCCGACGATGGCGACGACCGTTGGCGACTGGGCTGTCGTCGAGGACGCGGACGTCGGGACGTACGTTCGCCACTTGGTCACGGGCGAGGTGCGATGGACGCTACCGCTCGAGATGCTGCGCACGCATGGGCTACTGGCGCCGGCCATCGTCGCGCCGGCGACTGCGACCAACCAAGACGACGATAACGCCGACGCGCCGCGCACCGGCGAAGAGGACGCCGACGCCATGGCGCTACCGAAGGAAGACGAAGACATAGTCTCGCGCTGGAGCCTTCGCGCCAGCAGCCTCGTTTACGATGACGAGAGCCTCCGTAGCTCGATCGTGTCGGCAACGCTGGACGACGACAACCGCGGGCTCAATCAATTTAGCGCCGTCGCCGATGGCGGGATCTTTGAGCGGCCGCACTGCGTGCACGTTATCCGATCTCTTCAAGCGTGGCTCCGGGTCCACCACCCGGCGCTCGACGCTCGCACCCAAGCCGGGACGCTGCGCTTTCCCATGTTTCCGTGCCGATACAGCGGTTCACGTCACGTGATGCGCGTTCTTGTCACGCGACCAGGCGCGACCTCGAGCGTTCTCTACGAAGGCGACGAAGCCAACACAGTGCGAGAAGTGCTAACATATGCACGTAGTCGGTTGTATGTCGATGCAAAGGCCGTCGATGGGGCCTTCGTGCTCAAGGTCACAGGCCGCAACGAGTACCTCCTCGACGAGACGCGGCCGCTCGGGGCTTTTGCACATTTGCACGCCAGCGCTCGTAACAAGGCGACGGCCAAACTCACGCTTCTCGAGCTCTCAGCCGCGGACGCCGAGCTCAAGCGAGACACGCTCCAGTCGCTGGATCGATCGCTGCCGTGTATTTCGTTTGGCAAGCAAGTACCTCGCGCCGTATCGCGCCTCGACACGGCGACTGTGGCCTGGCCTTTTCGCATCAAGATGGTTGAGCTTGCCCATTTACCCGAGGTTCGAACGCGATCGTTGGATAGTTGGCTCGTTGGATACTTGACGGTTGCATGCCGACTTAGGACGGCCGCATGAGCCACCTCGTCGTGGCCGTTGGTCTCTGGGCAGGCCCGTTGACGCGTCTGGATGCTGCCGAGAGCTACATCTCGTCGCCTTGTACGTTTTCACATTATTTCCAAACGTTTGATGGTCGCATGTACGTAGCCATTAACAACTATGAGGTGCTCGAGACGCCTCCGATTCCCTTCACTGCCGACCGACTCCACTGGTCCACCAACGGTGGCTGGCTCACGAGCTCGGTCGTTTCGTACAAGTCGCTACCAGCGAGTGCACGGCTAAGTCTCACTGTCTACGGTATTCTCAAGGAAAAGGAGGGTATCGACGGCACCGCGCGACGGGTGGCGTTGGCCGCTGCGTGGCGACCGCTCTTCGAGTCGAGTGATCACTGTCTGCACGGCGGCCGTCACACCCTCTCGCTCTGGCCCTGCTCCATGACGTAGAACAGCTCACTCAAAAACGTATATGTTGTTATCGTGTTGGCATAGGCCGCAGGGCTTTGAGAACGGCGAACTGCCTCTGGGGTTTCCAACGACGCCGAATCCGTCGTGCCGCCACGGCGTGCTCACGTACGAGCTCGATGCATTTGAGAAGCCGCTCCAGCTCGTGGAAGCGCGCAGCGACCCGGGAAAGCTGCACGCCTCAGCGCGATCGCAGTCGAGTGCGTCGATCGATGCGACGCTGGCCGCACTGGAGCACGTCGATGTACTGCATACGCTGACGCAGCGAGAAAAGACCGTGCTCTGGCAGGCGCGCCACCAGTGTGCAACGACGCCGGCCGTACTAGTCAACTTCAAATGGGGTGACGCATTGAGAAATGGTGTAGCTGCTGCCTGTGTTTTTGCGGGCCATCAACTGGTCCAACCGCGACGCGATCGACGAAGCGAGACGCTTGGTTGCGCGATGGAACTTGTACACATTGTGCTTGTTTTGAATCAGATCTGAGATTGTCACTAGGGACGACGATGTGGCGTCGCTCCTCCAAGTACTTGGCCACGATGTGCCAGACCCGATGCTGCGAGCGTGGGTTGTCGACCAGTACATATGCCAGTGTCCTTGGTTGTTGACATTAGAGTTGTGATTGTAGGCTGCACAAACTGCCCGACGACGTGCTGCAAGATTACGTTTTGCAGCTCGTTCAGGTTAGACATTAACCAATGTAGGAGATAGATAAAATGCAAACGCGATGTTCTTAGGTGCTCAAGTACGAGGGACATGTGGACGGCGCGCTGAGCCGCTTCCTCCTCTTCCGGAGTCTCCTAAACCCGGTGCGGATTGGCCAGCGTGTATTCTGGCTGCTCAAAACCGAAGCCGACAACTGGCTCCACGCCGAGTCGTATAGCATTCTTCTCGCAACGTACGTCTCGCTGCACCCTTCGCACCGCGCCCTTCTCTTTGAGCAATGCCGCATCGTCGACCAGCTCGAGGTTGCGTCAATTATCTATGTTGCGATAGAGTTGACGTGGCTCTAGTTGATTGCTCAGCGCGTCAAGCGCACTAACAAAGATGACCGGTGCCGCCACCTGTGAACACTCGTGCTTGAGAAGCGACGTAGGCTCGCCTGTCTTGCCCAAGAGCTCGAGTTACTCAACGCGACGCTCGACAAGCCGTTCCACTTGTGTCTCTCGCTGCGGTTCGAGTGCCGCCGCTTCTGTATCGAGAAATGCCAAGTCATGGGCTCGGCGAAGAAACCGCTTTGGCTCGTATGCTGCTATTGTCGTATTGGGTACAATATTGTCTTTTGTGTTGTAGACCTTTGAGAATGCGGATCCGCTCGGCGACCCGATCATGGCCATCTTCAAGCATGGCGACGACTTGCGGCAGGACCTCATGACGCTGCAGCTGCTGCGGTACGTTCGACTCGTCGTTCCGTTTTTGAGTTGGGCTATGGTTTGCTAGGTTATGGGACAAACTGTGGTATGACCACGGCGTCGACCTGCGTCTCAAGCCGTACTTGTGCCAGTCGATTGGGTATCAGCTCGGGATGATCGAGGTCGTGCCACACGCCAAAACGACGGCCCATATCCACCGTGATTATGGACACGTATATTTTGGCGCGTGGATGGCAACCCCGATTGAGTCGTATCTCAAGCACGCGGCGGCAGGTACGAACTACGATATGGCATGGGTTGCACGCTAATATATGGACAAGATGGCGACGCGCTCGCCGACGCGGTCGACCACTTTATCCGAACGTGCGCCGGGTACTGCGTTGCGACGTATGTGCTCGGGATTGGCGACCGGCACAGCGACAACATCATGGTCGCGTCCAGCGGACACTTGTTTCGTATGGTGTTTTTTGTCTTTGTGGAAATATTTTTGTCGACATTTTGATTGTAGACATTGATTTCGGGCATTTTCTGGGCAATTTCAAAGTCAAATTTGGCTTTCAGCGCGAGCGCGCGCCGTTCGTGTTGACGCCCGAGATGGCGTTTGCCATGCGTGCGTCATCGAGTGAAGGGCGTTTCGAGCTCTTTGAACGCTACTGCGGCGACGCCTACAACCTCTTGCGGCAGACGCCCGCGCTCTGGGTGGCCCTCTTTGCTCTCGTACGTGCTACTACCATTAAACTATCTCACTAGGAAAACTGGCTAATGATGACAATGTAGATGGTGCCCGCCCACGTGCCCGAGATGACGTCGTTTAGCGATATCTTGTACCTTCGCGACCAGCTCTCAGTCCAACTCTCGAGTGACGAGGCCGCCGACAAATTCAAAGCCGAAATCAAAAATGCGCTCACGAGTACCTCGCGGCGCGTCGACAACTGGATGCACAACATGAAGCACGGCATCGACTTGTTTGCTTCATAATGAAATGAAGTATATACATGCCATTACGTTATTTCTCAAGGACTCGCTTCAATGGAGTCCACTGACTAATTGACTAAATGAGGAGTGACGACGCATCGCTGCATTGACGAGCTAAAGGTGATTATAGATGACCTCTTGAAGTTGAATGACAAGACGTCGAGTACGTGTTGAGCCTTGCAGGCGGTTCGAGTGTACTAGTACTAGTAGTCATGACGACATATTATCGCAAAAGGGCTATCTATATTCATTCATTTAAGATCGTTTTACACGCTGTGGTGAGGCCAAGTGCTACAACATCCTCGAATGTCAGGTTGACAAGTCGACCATCCATTATCCTAGTTCTCAAATCCAACAATCGAACCACAAAGACGATGCGACGGCGGAAGGCAATGTGTCCACGTTACACATGACATTATGCTTGTTGCGTTGGCGCGTCGGGCATTTTGTACGGATCCGCCTCTTGAAAAGCCGGAAGCGTGGCGAGCGTCGCGGCCACGCGCTGAATATTCGGATATCCGTCGAGGTCGATTGCATAAAACCGGGCGTTAAACACTTGCGGGTAAAGGACAACGTCGGCGAGCGAGACCGATTCCCCAAAGCAGTAGGTCCCCGCAGTGGTCGCCAAAATGCGCTCGAGCGCTTGAAAGCCGCGGTGCATCCAGTGCGTTGCCCATGTCATGCTGGCGTCATTGTCGTCGGTTGCAAGCGCTTCGATTTCCTCGAGGACCGCACCGTTTTGAAGCGGCTGCATGTCGGCGACGATGATGAGGCAAAAGGCGCGGATTTTGGCCCGAAGCGTCACGTCGGGTGGCAGCAGCGACGCGATCGTCGGGCGCGTCTCGTCGAGGTACTCCAAGATTGCCATCGACTGCGTCAGGATAACGTCGTCGATGCACAACGTCGGTACTTTCTACAGTATAGATGCACACTATAGAGTTGATTTGGAGACACAAATAGAGTACCTTGCTCGGGTTGAGTGCCACGTACGCCGCCGAGTCAAGGTCGTCGCCGATGCCACGGTACTCGTACGCTATGTGCTTGAGCGCGAGCGCTATGCGCACGCGGAACGAGCAGCTGCTGCGCCAGTACGAAAACAAAATGGGTTTAGGAGCGTCGCTGTCTTGCATACTAGCCGTCCAAATGCAAACTGATGTCAAATGTCGTCGGTGATTCGTGGGGCAGACAGACAGGAGGTGGCAAGTTAATCAGCTTCGATCTTCGGTTAATGTTCGGGTCGCTTCGAAGGTCAAGTTTATCTTGCGTTTTGTATCGTACTTGAGTTCGAAGCAGGTTCAGGCAAGGGTCAATAATCAGATTATTGACCCTTGGTTCAGGGCAGCGTCATGACAAGTTATCGGTTACATGTTTGACGGATGCAAGATTGATTTTGTGCCCTTTATCGCTTTCACAACTTCGTAGCTGAGGAATGAAACGATGCACACGGAATGAGAGATCGCCCCCGTGGTGGTACTACTGTGCAGAGGATGATGGAGTTGTCGAGGGTAGTCATACGCAGTAAGGACGTTGCCGTCACGTCGTTGCCGTCGTTCGTGACGTCTGTCTACGCCCCCGGACGACTCTCGGTGTTCCCTCATTCCTCCCAGCACGATATTATTACTAGAGCAAGACCGCGATTCTCGTGCTCGGGCCATGCCGCCTGTCGCACAGATGGGGTAGTTTCTCGCGCACAGTGATTTTGGCCAAGGCTGAAATGGTTTGTCTAGCCGCCATTTCGCTTGCGATGTTAGCTTGCCTGCAATAGCAAGATGCAACCGCCAAGATCGAAGACCCAGCTACTAGGCTCATTTGCGGTATGTTCGTCAAGCTCCAACCCAATAAGTCCCTTCTTGGGTGGTGCCGCCTCCCAACACGATCCCCGCCCGTATTCCAAAGGCTCACGTCCGTTGATGTCCTTGGTCTCCCCGATGCATTTGCGTTGTTGGCTTCGGACGGAACGGTATGATGTCCCCTAGCTTCGATTTCGTGGTTGGACTATACCATGTGACGGTGACGAAGCGACCACGCGTAGCATACTTTATCTATAAGTATCTCGTCGCTATAGCAGCGAGGAAGAAGGACGACGGACCCATTGTTCTGTGAGGCGTCGTCGCAAGCACCACAACACGTTTGTATTGGACAAAAACCAACACACGCTAGTCCACGGGAGATGGATACGGAGTCCGTATCCACCAAGTTATGCACACATTGTCCATATATTTGGCGACGAAAACGTTTCATCTACGTCTACGGCTGCGGGCGGTCGGGCATCGCGTACGGGTCGGCGGCCATGAACGCCGGCTCGGTCGCGAGTCGATCGGCAATGCGCGTAATGTTTGGAAACGCACTCAAGTCGACATGGTAGAAGCGCGCGTTGAACACTTGCGGGTACAAGTAGACATCGGCCATCGAGAGGGTGTCGCCAAAGCAGTATGTGCCTGCTGATGTCACAAGCATCGCTTCGATAGCGCCAAAGCCGCGGGTTACCCAGTGGTCGACCCACGCGAGCTTTGCGGCTTCCGCCTCCTCTTGTGACACGAGCGCACCAACCTTGCGCAGCGTCGCAAGGTTCTGGAGCGGCTGGATGTCGGCGGCGATCGCCATGCAAAAGGCGCGGACCTTCATACGCTGCTTGGGGTCGGCGGGTAAAAGCGGGCGCGCCGGGCGTGTCTCGTCCAAGTACTCCAAGATCGCTGTCGACTGCGTCAGCACGTCGTCGTCGAGCAAGAGCGTCGGTACTTTCTACTGCAACATGTGAGCGGCAAAGTCGAAGGCGTGAGGTCGTCTACCGAGCTCGGGTTCAAGGATGCGTACGCGGCGCCAAAGTTCTCGTTGGTCTGGAGGTTGATACCTCGATACTCGTACTCGATACCTTTCCACGCGAGCCCGATCCGCGTCCGGAACGACGCACTGCTCTTCCACGACGAGTAGAGCACGGCGCGCGTCATGATCCCTTTTGCAAAATGGCCTTTCTGGATTTTATTTTCGGCACGTTTATATGTGGCATATGCCATATCACGATTCTGTCATTCCACGAGCGGACACGATGCGGGCACAGACATATATATGGGGCACATGGACACATTTTGTCCATGCGAAGTACGTAGTAGCTACCAGTGTGTTGGAGTATCTTAAGAGGATCTGGTCAGTGGCCACTACGTAAATGCTGGTGTGAACGGCCTATTAACATCGGCAGATGCCATTGTTAATATTCTATATGGCCGAATAAGATGGCGCGTCCACGAAGGAACACGCTGGAAGCTGAAGCATGCCGATGTCTGCTGCTGTCCTTTCGTCACCAATGCAATGTAGCGAATATATAGGAATGACGTGCGCCGACTCTCTAGTAACTCGTCTTTGCTTGTGTATCGACAGTCAATAGGAATTCCTTGCGAGTTTGTTAGTATGCAACCATGCAACTGGCACTACGACAAGAGGCTGCAAAAACCGAAAAGCATTAACTGGATCAAAATAGTTTGGTCAACTTGACGCCTCGAGCTATGTCCATCAAGTCACAATCGGGGACTTGAACCACTCGTCGAGTACTCACTCGTCCGTCTTGTCGGGCATGTTGATCGGGTGCGCGGCGATGAACTCAGGCTCGTTCTGGAGCGTCGCCGCTATGCGAGTGATGTTTGGAAACGGCATCATGTCGACGTGAAAGGCCTTTGCGTTGTTGGCTTGCGGCAGGAGGAAGAGGTCGGCCATCGTGATTGCATTGCCGACGCAGTAGCTCCCCGCAGTCTCTTCGAGGATGCCTTCGACCGCGAGGAAGCCGCGCTGGATCCAGTGCTGCGCCCACTCGCGCTTCCGCGTCGCTTTGCTCTCCGTGTGGCGCGCCACCTCGCGCAGCACCGCCATGTTTTGCAGCGGCTGGATGTCGGCGCCGATGATGCCGCACATGGCGCGGATCTGCGCGCGGACCGCGGGGTCGGACGGCAAGAGCGGGCGATGCGGACGGGTCTCCTCGAGGTACTCGAGGATCGCGGGCGACTGTGTCAGCACGAGGCCGTCAATCACAAGCGTCGGTACTTTCTACTCGACGCAAAGTGCAATCTCCAATCTAAGCACTCAGCTCGTAGTGTACCTGATTGAGGTTGAGTTGCCGGTACTCGCTGGCTTCGTTCTCGCGGTTGAAGATGTTGACGGGCTGGTAGTCGTACTCGATGCCCTTCCACGCGAGCGCAATGCGCACGCGGTACGACGCGCTGCTCTTCCAGAACGAGTAGAGCACCGGGCGGCCCATCGATGGACGTTCGTTGTGGGTTCTGAACCTGCCTCATTGTGATTGGCGATATTTCAACCAATGAAAAGCAGCGAATCCGGGAGCTGTCCAACTTCAAGTGCCGAGGCTGTCTCAGTCCACACCATGTGCGGCAACGACATCACGACATGATGGCACGGTTCGCAAGGCCGTACAAGCTGCGGTCAGCTCTGGACTTGTACAGAGTGGTTTAGATCGAGCGGTAGTACACTGCGCAACATGACTGGACCCGAGATGACCCAACCTCCATCGCATCTACTAGTAAACTTAACATACAGCTTTGCTGAACCCTGTCATTGTGTATCTAGGTTGCTTCAACGTCGCCGCCACAAACAACACGTCGTGTTGATCCTAGATGCCATGAACCTAGGTTCGAACCCGGTCCCATGTATCGGCTATCCATGATAGATGGGCAGGATGCGCAGCGACGATGTGCCCGTGACGGTCACACAAGGTGCCACTCCTTCATACTCTAAATTGCTCTTTCATGGCCGCCGTCAACGTGCTCGTATCGCCGGACCTTCTCGGTGGCATCCTTGCCTACCAAGACGGACTACCATTAGCCCTCTTGGACCTTTGCCGTCTTGTCGATACCATTCGACTCGTGCCGAGCAGTCGCCTCGCCCATAAATCGCCCAACAGCGTCCTCACCAACGTACCAGCTCGCTTTGCACGCTTGCCGTACTTGTCTCTCTACCCACAGCCCACGACGACGCTCGCGACTGACGCTCTATTTGTGGCGCCTCACGTCATCGACCCGGCGCTGCCGCTGCACCTCTCGGTAGTCGAAGGCAGCCTCTCGCACGTGCGTCAGTGGCTCGCATCGGCACCGCACTTGTGCACGTCCGGTACGCTCGAGCTCGCGGCCGCAGCGTCCCAAGAGCCCGTGTTGCGGCTTTTGCTTCGCAGCTTTCCCCATTTACGGACTCACAAGGTCATGGACCTTGTGGCCATGTCGGGCGATCTGCCACTGTTACGATACCTCGACGAGCGCGGCGCCGCCTGCTCGACTGCCGCCATGAACGGCGCTGCCATGCACGGTCATCTCGAAGTCGTTCGGTTTCTTCACGCTGCCCGAAGCGAAGGATGTACGGCGGCGGCAGCGACGGCAGCTCTCGTGCACGGCCACGCCGACGTGCTTCAATTCCTGCTTGCGCATCGCACGGAAGGTGTCAACCCGGATTTGACGTACTCGGTCCCGTTCCACGGGCGTGTCCGTACTCGCCGTGTGGTCGGCACGGAGTTTCTAGTGGCGGTTCAGTTAGCGACAGCCATCCCGCCCCACCGCGCTGGTGAAGAGACGGGATCGCAGCTTGCGGTCCCCATCAAGGTTCACGTCTCCCAGCCGATATTAAACATGGCGATCGCGCGCCAAGATGCGGCGGTGCTTTGCTTTGCGCTGGATGCGCTCGAAGATGTGGCATGGCTCCCACAGGACGATGTGCCCGGCGTCGACGAGTGCGACCGCTGGAAGGCCTCGCTCGACCTCGCAGCGTTTTACGGGGACCTGTTCACGGTACAGCGCCTTTACAAACGAAGTCGGGCGTCCGAGCGCGCTATGGTCTACGCTAGCTACCGTGGACATCTGCACGTGCTTGAGTGTCTAGCCGAGCAAAAGTGCTTGAATGATGCGTGGCCGCAAGATGCGCTAGTTCTCGCGGCGGCGCAAGGACACTTGCATATCGTCCAATGGCTCGTCACGCACGGATATGGCCTCGGCAGTTGCGACGCCGCACTGACGACGGCGGCCTACCGTGGCGACGTGGCGCTTGTTACCTGTCTGGCACCACTGGTACCTCCGTCAGACGACAAGGACGCACCGCTCGCGTATGTCACCACGTCGCTTCCGCCGCACGATGACCGTCTCGACAAGCGCGGCGACTATGTCACGGGATGTGCCGCCGACGCCGCAGCCGCCCAAGGCCACCTGGACGTGGTTCATCTGCTGCAAACGTTTGGTCATGCAGTCTCGCAGCGCGCGCTGCTCTACGCGATCGAGAATGGCCACGGGAGCGTCGTTGAGCACCTCACAAAAAACGACAGGACGTTCCAGTGCGATGTCAAGACCCTCGTTCGCGCTCTACAGCGTGGCCAGAGACGCGTGGTTGCATTCGTCCTGAGACAGAGCGACGTGTCTACGCTGCGTCCGACGGAAGAAGACGTATACCGCTTGTACATTGCGGCGGCGTCCTCAGGTGACCTTGCGCTGCTGCAATTGATTGGCGACACGTACCGTCGACCGATGACGTCAGCGCTTCCACTGCGCGTGCAAGAACGCATGCTCGTGAGCGCTGCGACATATGGACGCCTGAATGCGGTCCAGTGGCTTCACGAGATCTTTGGGTTCGTAGCCGTCGCCAGCCTTCGTGCGGTAGCCGACCGCTTGGGGCACAAGGCGATGCACCGGTACCTTGCTGTGATTCAACCCTAGCAATGGGTGTACCTTTGATCTCCCATGACGACAACAGTAGTCAGCACACGCTCGATTGGACTGGGGACGAGGCATTTGCGCTCTTGATATAGACCAATAGCATATTACTTAGCGTCGCTTCCACCAACTAATCACACAAATTGATGGACTTGTGGCAGTGGGGACAGATGGCGTCAATGACACGTCGCGCGGCCGAGTTCTCGATCCACAACTTGGCACAATGCAGATGCATGTGGCCGCAGCCTCTTCTCTCTATCGCATCGCGAGTGTTGCACAGCACGCACGTGCGAACTTTTGATGGCGCCTGGGCAATAAGGGCGAGGCTGCGCCAAAACGACAAGTTGCACTCACCATCGTCAAACAGGATGTAGGCCTTCTGGCTCGGCAGCGTCTTCCAGGGCGATGCCACGTACACACCCGACTCGGACTTGACGCCTTCGTAACGCCACTTGCACTTGTAAAAGCCACAGGTGCGGGCGACAATGCTGTGACGGCACATGGGACAGTACGCGCGCTGCGCAATGACGTTGAAGGGCCGGAGGCCAATCGGCGCAATGACCTCCTTCGTGTAAGCGACACACGCGCGGTTCAAGCACGTGCCGTGGAGGTTGAGGCCTTGGCCGACCGCACGCCAGCGCGGCGCCGACAGCGAAAATGTGACCGTGTGCCGTGCATCCGCGACCTCCACTGTGGCAAACACAGCGGGGTCGCCACCGCCTGGGAGCGGAAGTATGAGCTGCACCACGCACCCGGCCGTAATGTTGTACTCTGCCAAGTTCCCGTCGTCCGCCAGTTGCTGCCCATCAAAGACGAGGCGCTGCACATCGGGTGGGATGCCTTCCATGTCGGCAATCATCTCCTTGACGTCGTCCACAAACGCATGGAGCGACATGTCCAGCGCAATGATCTTGCCCGTGAGCGTCTTGACAAAAACGTAGCTCGTGTAGCGCCGTTCCTTGAAATAGTCGACTTGCATCCAGTCACAAGCCGCACGCCAAACATGAGATAGCCATAGTCCGTCTCCTCATCGACGCGGACGCAAAGCACCCAGCGCAGACCGCCCGTGTTGAGCGTCGGCAGTAGTGGCGCCAGCTCGTCCGCATCGCAGAGGACAATGCCATGGAACCGAAGCGCCGAGCTGTGCGCTTGCACGCCTTGTGCTTTGAGCTTGGACAGGAGACAGGTTGTGAGGTGGGCGACGAGCTTCAGTGACGCGAGTTCGTCGTCGCTGACGAGCATGATGCTTTTGAGGCCCCACGAGGTACGGCTAAGCCACCCAATTTGCATCCTAGTGAGTAAATGAAAGAATGAAGTAAAAAACCTCAAAGGAACGCAGGACTGGGATGGGACAGGTCGCAAGAATGAATCCAAACGACGAAATTAAATTAACGGCCATGTCCTGTCACCGTCCGTCTGATGCATCGCGACCCGTCGGTGGTACTTTGTCGTTATAGATGACATGCAGCAGCTCGCCGCATGCAATATGGAAACATCCAATGCCCACTGACCTTGGGTCGAGAATGATGACACGAGTAGGCGATGTGAGTCGATGGTTTGTCAGACGAAAAGTCTGATGGACAGATAGGAATATCGTGCCTTGTGCTGGGTTTGGACCAGTGGCGCGGCGGACCCTACGGTCGAGTCGACAGATATCTTGCTACGTTATTTTGCGAGGTCGAACAGTCACGAGCACCAAGTGCGCGCGAAAGAATCATATTAGCCTTGTCGAGAAGAAAACATAGTCTCTTGACTTTACTGCCACACTCACGCAAAAGCCGCATGGCAGTCGGGACACGGTCGCGGCTTGGTCGAGGTGCTATTGTTGGAAGCAGAAAAGAACGACCAAGAGTGCCCGAGTGCGATGCTGTGTAGCCTTGCGTAGCGTTGGCACACTTCGACGACGATTGCACACGCAACGTTGTCGAGCATCAAGCACGTTCCCGCGTCCTAATGCCGGAGCCGTCAACCCCGCCTTTGGATTGGCCGTTACCTCGGGCTGTTGGCTTGTGATTGGCGTGAGAGGCCAAGCTGATATGTGCATGCGGCGCAAAGATGCAACATCAGTTGCCATACTCGTGGTTAACGACGCACCAAGACTCCAACCAAGAGATATAGTAATATTCAAATAGCCTTCAATCAGACAACACGCGGGGAGTGCTGCAGTGCGTCTGGTGGCAGTGCCCGGCGACCGCGACGTCCGGCGCCGTTAAATTGGAGTGCATCTCTGGAGACGTGCGAGGGTGGCGCCAAAGTACTTGGTGTCGCTCGAGTCGACAGCAATCACAAGCGGGGCCTCGCGAAAGGAGAACGCGGATTCGAATGGGACAGGATGCCAAAAGCAACCGCCATCTCCGCCTGCATTATGCGCGCCGACAAGAGAGCCACGCCCCCATGATGAAACATCGGGTAGCAAGGCAGCATGCAACGACATGTTGCCAAGATCCAAAGCATGTACCCCGATGTGCCCAATGCGATGCTGTGTCGGGTGGTCGAGTCGTGCACGTGTTGGGACTCGGCGTCGAACATCGATACGTTGGGCCGTTGGGCTTCTTGCTCGATTGGCACTGCGTGGCATCTCCAGCGGGGCACTCGACAGGAAATCTACCAATCGGAAGCGATGCTGAGCTCCTGTGCACCAATCATATCGCGAGATAGCACCGAGATTTGCAGGATGCAGTCTGGGAGTACGCAACTTCAATCTACCAATCGCAAGCGACATTGAGTTTCTGTGCACCAATCACATGGCAACCACCGAGATTTTGGACGAAGCACAAATCGCCTCTCGGAAGCACAGGGACATGGCCCGCCAACCGGCGCTGCGCCAATCGACCACGAAGCGCAAGGCGGCGCCGTCGGACACGCCGCCTGCTGTGCGCCGCCACGTTGTTGCCGACGTGGCGGGTTCGCGAGCGGTCCCAGCGACAAAACCAGCGACGCTCGAGAAGGTCCATTGGGACTTTGCGGCGGTGCAACTCCAACACATCAAGCACGGATGGGACAAGGACGTGCTCTCGCTGCTGTGCGACCTCGGCATGTCCAAGCTTGCGTCGACGACATGGGCCGACGTCGCGTGCGTCGTCAACCAGAAGCTGGCGGCGACGCGGCGCCACCCGGCCGAAAAAGCCACCAAGGACAACGTTCTGCGCATCTACCAGAACCTCCGGCAAAAAATCGACGTCGCATCGAGAGATGCAACAGCGAATGCGCAAACAGGATCGTGCAGAGACTGCTGGCACGCGTCGCGCACTGCCCAACGTCGTCGACATGATGGCACGCGCTTCGGCAGCGCGCTTGAAGGAGACCACACCCGTCGAAAAAACGTACTGGGATCGCGTCGCGATGCAGTCGTGCCATGTCTACGGGTGGTCCACGGAAGCGATGAACCTCATCTACGCTGTGGCAGTGCCCAAGCCACCAGACACGACGTGGGCTGACGTCACATTCGTTGTCCAGAAGCTTCCCGCGACGACTGGCTCATTGCGCCGCCCGGCCGCGCCGGTTACATTGTCGAAGGTGACGCGCTTGGTGCAGAGAGCGATCGCATATCAACAGAACGTGCGCGACCGGCTACGAC